ATATTTTTAATCCCCTGGATTCTTGTTTGAACTTTTTCAAGGACTCCATTTCTTTTACATGCCTGCTCTCATGTTTTGCATTTCTTTCTTTAGCTCCTTAGATTTTTATTAGTGTATTCTCTAGACTTGCTGATCATTTTTTAAAATTAGGATCATTATCTACTTAGTTACATCTTCTTTAAATTCCCCCAAATACTGTACTGAACTGTTTTATTACCTCCAGTGATATCCTTTCAGTGATACTCGCTATTTCTTCTATGTGGTCTATGATTTCCTTTCCCTCAGTGCTCCTTGGATCAGCTTTGGGGGAGTTGGGAGTCTTTGGAAGCATTTTTTTTTGTCTTCTTCTCATGTTTTCATGTTTGTTTGTTTGCTTTCTGTGATGGAGTTTGCTGGTGATTATAGTGCGTAGCTTTGTGGTGGAGATATCCTCTTGACAGGCCAGGTTACTTCTTGCAGCTTCTGTGGCCCAGAGCCTGGTTCTTTGAGAATGGGCCACAGTATTGTTTATGACCCCTAGGAAATCCAAATATTGGCATCCAGAGAAAACCAGTTGACAGCAACAACTGTTTCACCTTGGCCATAGTAGTAAATTCAGCATCAACAATCTCATCAAATATAAACTGTATACCAACAAATCCTAAGAACTACTCACAAAACATCCTTAAAAACAAAGAGGTTTATGATTTTTGTATAGTCACTTAGGCAACCCAGATTTTGACCTATAGTAGATGAGACACTGGCTTCTGCTGCATGTAAGCAGTGGTGTGAAAGCTGAAGCTGACCGCTGGACTCAATGCCGTCTCCTTCAGATCCACTCCCTCTGAAGGTTACATACCCCAAACCCGGCCTCCCACCACAGAATGTAGGCCCTGTGACCTTCCTGGCCTGAGCTTGAGCTTCTCAGGGGATCTGTGGAGATCTGTGTCTAGCCTTCACCCTTTCTGAGTCTGTCTCCCAAGGCTGTCTCTCTCATTTGGTCTCTGCAGTAGGATAACCCATCAGTCCCGGAGTGAAACTTTCCTCCGTCGTGTTGGTCTCATTTTCATACAGGTTAGTCTTTAGGCTGTAGTCTCTGTCTCCCTGTGCTGAGGAGACCCAAGGTGCAGAGCTGGGTAGCAGTTTCCAGTTTTGCCACTCTTCTCTCTGTGTCAGGTTCATGAGGCAGCAGATGGTGGGACAAGCAGGTGGGCAGGTCTGCTCTCCTTTTTGGTGTGGAGCATATGAGGGAGCCAGCCTAGAGTTAGTTTAGGTTCATTGCAGCATAATTTAACCAATATAAAATTCATCCTCTTTTTGTGAAGTTCTATAAATATTATACTAAACATACAATTGTGTGACCATAATATTCAAGATATAAAACACTTCCTTCAATCAAAAAATTTCCCTTGTGCTCCTTTGTGGTATATCCCTCATTTACTGCAAGTTCTTGGCAACCATCTTTTTCTTCTCCCTACATTTTTGTCTTTTCGGGAATAACATATAAACAGAAACATATAGTCAGTAGTGTTTTGAGTCTATACTATGTGGAAGGCATTTGACACTTAATCATACTGTTGCCTGGATCAGTAGATCATCCCTTTTTATTGCACTATTCTTTATTTATCTACTCACCAGTTCCTGTAAGACTGGGTTAGTTCTAATTTGATCCTGATACAGATACTTAAAAGATTTGTGAATATGATTTTGGATATATGTATGTTTTTATTTCTATTGCATAAACACCTATGGGCAGAAAGGCTAAGCAATTGTTTTCTTTTACATTTTTTAGTTGTTACATTATTTTTTCCATGAAAACTCAAATTTCTCTAGGCATGTCATCTAACTAGGCTGTCAGCTAACTAGGCTGATACCTGAAGTGGCAGATACTAAACCCAGGTCCTAGGATTTGCCAGTGTCGGCGAGGTTTACTTACTTTTTTCAGAGTAGGAGGTGCACATGCCGCAGAATGAAGACATTCTATGGTGTCACCATTTGTTGCAGGGCCCTCTGTCCCTCCGTGGTGACTGTAATCCTCACCTCTGTTTCCCTGCCTCTCTGCCCAGGGCTCTCTTGTCTTCCAGTGCTTGTACAGACTGTTACCACTGAGGAAGGTTGAGGGGTAAGAGCCAGTAAAAACTGTGACAGAACAGAAATATGATGTTCTCACTTTCCATTAGTACTCCCTAGTCACCTTGTATGCCTAATTGTCTTTTTCCTAAATGATTAATATTGGAATGTCTAGGGATTCAGACTTAGACTTCTCAGTTCTCTCTGTATTTATTCCTTTGGAATTCTCACCCACTCTCACATTTTGAAAACCAAGGATATGCCAACAACTTTCAAATGTATATCTTTAATTCAGAATTCTCCCCTAAATTCCAGACTTCCAATCACCTATTCTTTATTTCTGTCTAGATGTCTCAAACTCAATGCATATAAAGGTGAAATCCTGATTTACTCCGGCAAACATGATTCCATATGCTGCCTTCCCATCTCCTTGGTAGAATTTCAATCTTTCATTTGCAACACAGAATCTTTGTGACAATTTTATTCTTCTCTTTCTCTCACATCCCATACCTCTTCTTTTAGAAATCCTGTTGCGGTGGCTTCAAAGTATATGTAGAAAATGATATTTCATACCTACTGCACTTCTATACTCTCATTATGTTTTTCTGGGTAGCACAGTAGCTTCATCTCTATGTCCTGGACTCACTATTCTCTATGTTAAACATACTGGAGATATACTTTCAAAGAGTTGTCTGATTATGACCCTCCTCTCCCTGATACCAGCAGTGTGCACACATTTCCCTCAGAATATAAGCCTCTGTCCTTCCAAGGTCCTGGGAGGTCTTCAGATCAGGCCTGGAGATGCTTCCATGATTTCTTCTCTGACTCTCTCCTTAACTCACTTGACCTCAGCCCTGGTAGTCTGTTTGCTGTGTTTGGCATGTACCCAACTAGCATATTTATTTAGTTCTTCCTCATATTATTTTATCACATTTTATGGTTACTAGTCGCCTATAAAAATTTGCAAGCTTAACTTTTATTTTCCAAAAAACATGGCTAAGTGCAATTGTTTTTCAGTCTGGTTCTGAGAAAATAAATTTCTGGACTCAGTCTTTTTCCATGGTTGCTTATTATTTCTGCTCATTCTCATTCACAGTTGTATCTCTTTTTGCATTGGAATCTGTATGCTCGATATTTTATGTGAATATTCATTTATAGAAATTATTTGAGACCTCAGATGATATTATGTGAATCTTTTCTTTCTTCTACTTGGAGCCCTTACAAAGAAGCATTGTCCTTATTTAAGGCTTTGTGATTATATTTTCCAGACAGTCATTTTCAAGTAACTTGAGGCCAGGCTGAAAACTATGTGGAATCTTTTGGATCATTCCTACTGTTAAGGCTCAATATATTCTTGGCAAATCCTGTCCTGGTGCGTTGCTTTCATCTTCCTATACTTCTGACATATCAAAATTCAGGATAACAAGTTTCCAAGCAACCTGTTGCTGTTTGTGAACATCTCCAGGGCCAAAATTACTAGCTTCTTTCTCGACTCCTATCTTTTGTCTTCATTTTGTCCAGTAATTATTCACTATTTTTTAAGCTCGTGTCTTTGATAAAATATTTTTCAATATTTTGCTCTTCTTTTTAATGCCCCTCATGGAAGGATTGCTTTGAATTCCTTGTCCACAGTTCTCAAGGATGGGTAGTCATCACAGGAGCTTTCTGCTGGCTTCCTCTTGTTGGAGTGCTCTTTATTACAGAGCCAAGTTCCTCACCTCTTTTAACTCTGTATTCAAATGTCATCTTATCTACATGCATCTACATGCACCTATTTACACTGTAATCACCCAGCATCCTGGCCTCCCTAACATCTGGGTGGACTATAAAAAATACAAGGTGTTTGGAAGAGGCAAAGAAAATTTCCTCTGGAAGAATATATTACCCTAGCTTCAATTTTTTTCTACTATTTTTCATTATATTTATCACCATCTAACTTAAAATTTACTTATTTATTATTTTATTGAGTTTTGCTCCTGATAGAATGTAAGCTCCAAAAGGGTAGAATGTCTTTGTCTCTTTTGTTCACTAATCATTCCCAAGGCTGGAGAAGAGTGTCATACAGTAAATATCCAATACATATTTGTTAAATAGATGAACGAGTCAAATAGCCATCTCATCTTAGAAAGTGAGCCTTTGAGAGAAAAACAATTGGGGCTTCCCAGGCGGTATTGAATGCACATTTGAAGTTGAAAATCATTGATTTAAAATAAAATCAATTAGAATACTTGAGTTTCTCCAGGCATGTTTTTCTTCTGCTCAGGCACAAGTATGGGAAAAACCATGATAAGGCTCATCATGAGTTTTTGTTTTTGTTGTTTTGCAAATAAACTTGTCATGAGGAGAGAGAGACACACAAAATAAATGAAAGTATTAAATATGAGAATATGAAATATATGTAAGCTAAAGCCTAATAAAGCCAGAGTAAAGCTGTTAGGGTTATGATTGGGAAATTCCAGTGAAGCAGGTTAGGAATGTTAGAGAAGTAAAGACATGGATAGGAGGAAGAGAGTTAAGAGTGGGACACTGAGACAAAAAGTTTTGAAGTTTTCTGCATTATTGGTGAAGGAATCATTTTGGAAGTAGATGGCTGAAATGGAGTGAATGTGAGTATCTTTGGCTTCGAACAACTCAAAGAATTGAGAGAGAAGAGAGTTTTACGTGGAATTTTGAAAGAGCCAAAAATTATGGTAGCAATGTGAAGGAACTATTATGATCCTTGTGCCAACACCATCAGTACCTAAGGGGAAATCACCAGAAAGCTGACAGACAACAGTAATGAAAAGAAAAATAGTTTAATAAAATAATTTTCAAAGGTGAAGAGGATTTTATATAGAAATAAGGGAGTGACAGAAAATCTAAAAGAGGAAGAAGATGAACTTATTTTAGAAGCTGAATTTCTTCTTATTTACTGATTATTTAGAAGTACAATTAATTTTATTTTCATACAGAGTCCTACAACTCTTCCAAGAGCAGCTGGTCGAGAAACCAAATATGTAAGTCTTTTATAATTATACAAACTGCTTTTTAATGTATTATACAGATGCTCAATTATACAGTCATTTAATCAATTGTTTCTTCATAAATGCAAAGGGGCCAATATAAAGACCAAGGTTATATCTGGGTTTGTTTGTTTTGTTTTTTTGGTGCTGGGGATTGAACTTGAGACCCTGCACTTGCAAGGCAGGCGGTGGAACCACTGAGCTAAATCCCCGACCCTTATGACTGGGTTAAAACGTCAGGCATGCACATCAAATAAATTCCTTCTTAAGAGAAGTCTAGTTTGATTAGTTTAGCTAAATAAACCAGAATTCTAACATCTACTTTCTGTCTTTCTATCAAAGCTTAGATGCCATTTTCATTTTTGTAATGGCTTCTTTCCTTTTATAGTCAATTCTTATACTTGAAGCATTAAGATGTTTCCATTTCCAATAGAATTGCCAATTTAATGGACTAATCAGTTTTCCCCCAGCATTTAAATCTTAGGATAAACCTATTTTCATTTAGGAGCAAAACAATAGATTAGTACTGGAGATATAGATATGAATTCTCACACTTTAACTGGCTCTAAGTGTCCTAGACACTCACAAATGCACACTCATGAGTGCACATGCATGCACACACACACACACTTCATATGCACAACCTTACAACACCATCCCCATTCTTTAATCACCTAATAATCGCATTTTTGTCACGTGGTCTACTCTGCTTCTGATCAAACACATTGTACTAGAAACAAGATTGTTTCCTAAACAGGTGTTGAGTTTTCAGTCTAAAACAAATTGGTCGGTTATTCTTTTCAAACTACACGTTATTTTTTCTAATAATATGTAGTTTTTGTCATCGTAATCTAGAGTAAATAGTTCTTAAGTGTGCATTTTGTGCCATGTTATCATTGCAATTTATACATTTCTTCCTTCATTTAAATTTCCCTAAGGCAAATAATGAACACAGCAAAATTACTAAATTTTATCACATTCAGGAAATTATGTTTACAGGATATGGGAAGGAACACTGCTCAGAGCATTTCCTGGAAGCTTTCACTGTTATTTTTCATTATTATTGGAAGCCCTTTGGAGTAATACTTAAAAGGAGTAGAGGCATTTAGTGGGCTAGATCCAAGTTTAAATTGCAGTGTTACTTCTGGATAACTGTGTGATCCTGGGAAAATCACCTATTTTACCTTGCTATGTGTTTGTTTTTCAACTGTAAAATGGTGATGCTAATCTTCTTAGTTGGTTTATGTAAGATTTGTGTTAGTCACTGCCTGAAAAGCCCTTAATGCAGTCCTGACACACAGGAATTGCTCAATAAATAATAGTTCCTCCCTTTCCCCCTTTTCCATCACTTTTGCTTTTGTTTAAATCTCCTTCCTCCTGTTTTTCCAGTCTATCTAGAAGATTCACAATTTGAGTTGCTTGATGCTTTAGTGAGTGCAAGAAAAGAAAGTTCTTTAAAGATGTTTCTGTACTTTTTCATGATACACCCTATTGATGCAAGGGACAGACTCAAGAAAAGGGGCTAGAATATTTTGGTCTTTCCCTTCTTTTCTCATCTGCTGTTGTCATTCAGCAAAGTGCCTCTGATTACGCTTTCAGTAAGTTCAGAAGGGCCCTGGCCTCTACCCCCTCTTCCCCAGGGGCTCTCAGTTTGAGAGTAACTGGAGTAGTTCTAGAGAGGGCCTTCGATCTCTATAGTTGGAGACAATTTCAAATTATTCTGTTTTCAATCAGTTATCAGACTTAATAAAAATAAGTTAAGTTTTCCACCCATAACTTTTGTGAGAGAGTTTGAGTCATTCTAAGTTAACTCTGAATCATCAAAGTTCAGTATAGACTAGAGCAGACATAAACTCTGATTCAGATATTATTTTTGACTTTAATTAAATTTTGCTTCCTGGGTGAGAAGTTTTGTTTTTTTTACCTTCTTTTACTCCTTGACATTTGTACTGTTTTTTATGGCACCACAAATTTGTTCATGTCTTTGGAAGACCACAGCATCATTTCATGATGAAAGACAAAAATGGTAGTTTTTTGGTGCCAACTCAGATAACTCACACTTGGAAGTACTCGCTTGTTATGTTTACTAAATATTAGCTGATACATTTCTTTTGAGAAAAACAATGAATTTATTTTGAGAAGAAAAAATGAAATTTTAGAGTAGAAGTTCACTTTAGCTATAGGCTTTGATTTTATGTGAACCATCTGTCTTAAATACAGCATGTCCTTATTTTTAGAAAAGGACATTTTAAACTTTTCTTTTAGAAATTCTGATATTCATATTAGCTGAACTATGGGATGATGTTTCACCTTTAGTATGATTTGAAGAGTTTTCATTTAATTTCTCCCAATGTTTTTCTCCTTTCTCCCATGAAAACTCAAAAGTAAATCTGAAAGGTCTATGAACTTAAACATTTTAGCATTTCACCAACTCTCTTCACGACTTTGGAGAAAGAAGGCATCTTTTGAGTATATACCTGCTAGGACTCAGTCTGTCATTAACTTTGTAGAGATTCTTAAGGTTAGGTTCCAAAACAGGGATCATGCAGTTTGCCAGCTACTGCAACACAGAGGAGGTTGAGCAAAAGGAAGACTTAGATTAAAGCCAAGAAAGCAAGCACGTCACACTTGAGGATAACCTTAGAAAATTGGCACTGCTTACCCCAAATCTTGAGGCTTGTAAAAAGTTGCATATGTGACCCATTAATAGTAGAAGAACCAGTCGGTATTCTCTAGATCTGTTATTCAATTATCCAGTTTTGTTCCCGATTTAATGCATATTTATCGAATATCTACCAGGTAAGAGTCACTGAGGAGTAACTGGGTTGAGAGGCGAGAGTGTGGTGCCAAGGTCCCAGCCTGAAGCATGGATTCCACTCGAGGAGACAGTAAACAGTTAAATAGTGAATGAACAAGACACTTGTAGAAATAGAACTCAGCAAAGAGCCGACTGAGGGTAAAACAAACTTACAAAGGTGTTAATTTTCAGTGTATCAACATGTTCATAAGATTTCTAATTTTACTGGGATGGTTTAATTAAATGAGAAATTGTTGATTGATTCATTTTTCTGGGCCTTTGGTGAAAGATTGCCCAAAGAAAGAAAGAAGGAAAAAAAGGCAGAAAGAAGAGAAAATCAATGAAAAATGTTTCTTTAATTCTCTGTGGAATGTATTGTGATAGTTCACAGTCTGTGTTTTAGGGTAAGCCAGGGCCAGTAAAAGTACAGTGGATTCAGACTAATTAAAGGCAAGGTTGTCTTCAATTCCCACTATGCTGAAATTGCAGGCTAAAGTAAATTAATCATGATTCCTTTAAGGGTAAGAGAAATGAAATTAGGTTAACAATCTATGGAATAGGTAGTGATTGTTGCCCACTTGCAGAGTAGACTAATTTATCCTCAACATTTCACTTCACCTTTTTTTAAAATTTTGTGTTTTGAGACAGGATCTTGCTATGTACTTTATCTTTTAAAACAGATGCTTAATTGAATAATAATAATAACTAATGTTTTGAACCCTTACATTGCAAATAAATCTTAATTATTTCACTTATGCCACACACCAGTCCTATGAGACAAGTGCTATACTATACAGTTCCACTCTGTAGAGGGAGAACACAAGTGTCAGAAGTCTCAGAGCAGGCAAATTTTACCCCAGACCCGGTTCCTGTCAAGGCCTCTGTTGCTGATATTGTATGTACTTCTAGATGCTATAATTTCAGCCATTAGTATTTGTACTCTTGGTCTAAATTATATCTTAATGCCTGATAAAATGTAGTCTAAACTTGGAATGAATAACTTAATATCTAGTCACATTAACATTAAAATGATAATGCTTTAGTGTTTCCAAGATCTTAAATCTCTTGGTTATATGTAAATTAGTTCATAATTTATCAGAGAACATATGAGCAATTATTTCTCATGACACTCATTTTTAAACAGTTTCTTTCTCCCTTTGTAAATGAATACATTTTCTGTTAAGATTTCCATTTCCTTCTATTTCAACTCTGTTTACTTTGGAAGGGAAGTTTTTTCTTTCCATTATACTTGCCTTTGTAAATATTATTTTTATGAACTACTGCCAGTATAAATTTATTTCATTGATATAATTCAAAACCATATATACTTTTTAAATAAAAGGCAATATCAGAAAGTAGAGCAAGTATTTAGATTTATTACTAATTTATCAAAAACTGTTGATTGGAATCACATTCTACTGATAATTCCTTACTTCAAAATTGTCTACATTTCAAGAATTACTTTTAAGTGCCAGAGAAATAAATGAGACAAGCTTATTGAATATTAGATAATGTACAAGTAAGATCTCATTTTGATGAACTTGAGGGGCAGAAAATGTCATTACAACGAAGTATATTGCTTCCAAAATATCACAATATATTGAAAAACGTGTCAAACTTTATTAAGAATGTTTCCCACTACACATACAGATATCAAAATAAAGGTCATGGTCTCTAATCCAGCCAGTTCGCACTTTCTCCGTGTTGCTATGCTGAGCAGAGTTGCTATGCTACAGAGACTCAGTGGCAGCTCGCACAGACTCCGTAAGAGATCCTAAGGCAAATTCCACTGCCAGATGTGCTACCCTAGGATAAGACCAGAGGTTTGATGAGTTGCAGGGAAGTTGTGTACAAGTTAAGCGAGAAGTTTCACTCTACTGATCATTCTCATTTATTACTTTTTTTAATGGTTCAGAAATGTTTCTAAAGTGTATGTGTGAAGAAATGGGGGGCATGGAAGATAATCATCTGTGTCCTGCTAAATGAGGAAGAACAGAAGACATTGGATGAGACATCCTGTGTGCTTCATCCTTGTTATTGTCATTTTAGTTTATCAAAAGTGGGCTGCAAGAAAACACAATGTTAGACAAGGACTGAGGAGCTTGGAGTGTATTCTGCATGCCTCTGGCACTTAGTCTTGGGGAGGTGAAAATGGTTTCTCCAAGGCTGGCTGGACACAAGTGGTAGCCCTTTGTAGTAATTTATTTTTCTGTGAGTTTCAAATCCTCACTTCTTTCCTTGGTCTTTAACCTTTAGTTTCCACATAAGCTAAATCTTTAACAAATTTTCTTTGACTTTAGAAAATTTGAGGTTTATATTTTCACTGCTCTATCAGTTTAAAAATTAATTTTTATTTGACAATCATGTCTATTTATGGGATACGATGTGATGTATTACCTATATATATGTTATAGAAAGATTCAGTGAAGCTGATTAGCATATCCATCACTTCTCCAGTTCATCATTTTTTTGGGATAGCAATGTTAAAAATCCATTTGAGTAATTTTGAAGCATATTTTTTTAAATTAATAATTGTCAGCATGCAGTTCAGTTGGTCACTATGACTTCTTCCTCCAGCCTAACTGAAACTGCATTTTTGATCAGAGTCTTCTCCTTTTCTTTTTCTCCCCTCTGCCCACCTCCCCGGGCCTCTGATAACCATCCCAAGTGCATCATAGTGAAGTTTAAAAATGTCGTGAAGAAAAATGCTGAATGATAACCAAAGGTGAAAACACACCCACCAAGTTAACCATGGCATCTAAGTGACAGCAACAACATAAGCTTGAGCCAGGAGAACAGTATCTTCAAAAAACTGAAAGATAGTATTAGCCTAGAATTCTATGTCCACTTGAACTCTTATTCAAGAGTCAGGACAAAATAAAACATTTCAGACCCAATCTAAGGTAGTAGGATTTGAGAAAAACTATGGCAGCATTTACTTCAGTCAGAAGGAAACTGCAGGACGGTGGAAACTGGAAAGGAATCAATAAACAACAATCTTCAGTTAAGCACTTTGAAGAAGTTCTTGCTCCCTAAGGTACAACAGTGTAACTGTCGTGAAGAATGCTGTATTTAACATTTGAAAATTTATCACAGGGTAGATCTCTTGCCATATAAATTAAGTATTTTAAAAGAAGAAATTTAAATTTTGATGAAAGATGTAAACTATAAGAACAATGATGAAGAAACAGTTTTAACTGCTCTTTAATGTAAACAATATTATGACCAAATCATTTCCATTCCCGAGACATAAAAAGATTGTCATGCTTTTTTATGTAAAGATAATTTACAGAAAAATTGTATTTAAAAATTTGATGAAAGGAGAAGTGGGAGGGGTAGGGGAAAGGAAAGAAGGGAGTGGAATTAATATGAGAAAATGAAAAAAAGGAAAAAAGTCTTTGTAAATAGGGAGGGATGGAGGGGTTGAATGGAGGGCAGGGGAAGGGGGAAAAAGTAAGAACCTAGAGAGTATGTAAAGGTGCAAATTTCCAATGATGAATGTCATTATATTGTACACCTAAAATGTACCAATAGAAGGATATACAGTTAAAAAAATTTGTTGTAAGCAAATATAAATATCAGCAATATTTTTAAGTTTCAGTAACTTGGAGTATACAAAAAGTGAAATATGTAACCTTGAAGAATTCTGGATATCATGTGATAATGCTTATATGAAGAAGATGAGAAGTAAAAGCAATTTGTAAAACATAATTCATTCTGATCTGTGATAAGGGGTTGCATGGGAAAATATTACAAGGCCATGCACCAAACTGCTAAAAATCATTTCTTGGTGGCATCCTTTCCCTTCATACTTTGCAAAATCCTACAATGGACATCTATCACTTAATAATAAAATAACCTCCAATTCTTGAAAATATAGATGTATTGTTTTTTCAAATCATTACTTTCACTAAATATGTACCATGTTTCCACTTTGTAGGCAAATCTCTCATTATCATCCTCTACAGCATCTGAGAGTCAGCTGGTATGTATCTTCCTGCTAAGCCATAGACCTACTTCTAAAGTTCTCATTTTTTCCAGACAACTTTGCTTGAGAGAAAATGAAGAGGTTAAATTTACTACATATAAGATTGTCCATTTATTTGTCTAACAAGAGATTACTGATGTTTTAGTAAAACTGCCTGCTGATTGTTTTGTTGCTTGCAAACATGCATAAAACCATACAGAGACTTTACTAGCAACACATACAAGTGGTAATGTTTGAAGAGATTGGGTTGGAAAAGAAGAAAAATGTTATTGAAAGTAAGAGAAGAGAATTCGTTTCCTGATGAGAGCAGTCCCAAAATGGTTTAAGGAAAGGTCACAACTGAGTATGTAGTTTCCTGGTTTGTGGAAATGAGAAATGAGATTCTCATACAGGAAAGTTAGCACCTGAATGGTCTTAACCAGTGCTGGGCGATAGAAATATAACGTTAAGTATAAATGGAAGACACTGTATAATTTAAACATTCCTAGTAGTAGACACATGAAAAATTGAAAAGAATCCTAACATTAATTTCAACAAAATATTTTATTTAATGTTACATAAATGTTGTCATTTTAACCTGCACTATAAAACTGAGTTTTACATTGTTTTTGAGAGGTGTACTAAGTCTTTGAAATTTGCTGTGTATTTTACATGTCTAGAAAATTTCAATCTAACCAGTCATGCTGCAAGGCTCAACAGGAGCTGTATTGGGAATCACAGGTCTAAACTCTATACTATGTTATTTATAGATAAAAATTAGATTAAATAGGAGAACTACCTTTTCTTAGAGTGTTTTCCATTTCTTATTCTTATAGAGATTAGCCAATTGAAGCTAAGAAATAAATTTCCTGAATATCACTGGCTAAAGATTATCTTTATGTCTTCAAAATTTTGTTTAAAATCTTATAACTTCTTGAAAAATATGTAACATCAGGAATAAAAAGTATTGGTAGAGCACTTTGAGACATGGAGAACAAAGAGCATGGTTTAATACTCACTTTTTCCTCATTTAAAGCAATTGTTTTGGTGTCCTGCCAAAAAGACAACCATATTTTTATTTATAATACTGAAAAATCATAAAAATAGCATTTGATTCTTAAAATAGCTTGATTCAAACAAAACACTTGGGCATGCTCATATTTATATACATTTATACACTCATTTATACAGTGAGTGTATAAGTACGTGTATGAGTAGAATGTCTCTTGCATATGTGTGTGTGTGTGTGTGTGTGTGATATTTTAGTGTCAGTTGGCTGGAACAGTAAGGGACAGTAGAGTGTCTTGAAAACACACAGGGATGTGTGTCAGATATCCAGCTTATACTTCCTGCTCTGATCCTAAGGACTGGGCTGACAGTTGAGTGAGTCACAAGCCAGAGGGTCTGGGCCTCAATTTCCCAATTTAACAATGAGAACATTCAATTAGGTAGTTTCCAAACCCTCCAGGACTGTGTTTCTTGGCCACCAACATGATGAATGAAGGAGTTGCCATGGAAACAAGCCCTGCCACAACATAATGAAGTTGAACACTTCCCACTTTAGATGTGGAAATATTATCACAACCCTTTCAATTTTTTTTTTTGGTACCGGGGATTGAACTTGGGTCCTTGCACTTGTGAGCCAGGCAGTAGAACCACTGAGCTAAATCCCTGGCCCTCAATTTTTAAAATAATGATGCATTTTTTATTGAGAGTAATATATGAAAAGAATCTATTGAACATCTTTATGTGAAATTTTATTCAATGTAGTATACAAAACAGATTTTTAGATGTTAGTTGATGAAATATATGTGAGTATGCAGGAGCAAATCCACAAATCACAGGATTTTAAAAAATGAGAGAAAATAGAATTCATTGTGAATGTCATAAAGAAAAAAACCTTTCTTTTTTTAGCCTAATAAAGTAACCCTTTGTGATCTCTCGGTAAAAAATATAAAACATTGTTTTGATTGACTTTAATGATAATTTCTTCATATTTATTCTGGAACTTTTCTTTAAGGAATTTGGGACATTTCTTAACCAAATTGTAAATTAAGTTTTAATCTCAGAATTCCTTTCAGATATAGGCAGGTTTGAGAAGGGATTACTATCAAACAAGCTTATTACTTAAAAAGTGAACATCTCTTGGCTTGATATAATTATTCAACTCCATCACTTTGATTTCTACTTTATGACATTAATCCTGTACTTATACTTCCCAGAAATAGAAGAAATCAAAGTAGAAATAATTCAATGCAATATTATATGCTATTTTTAAGCAAAATTATTTACAAAATTTTATTTTATAATTATATTAAATTTTTTCATTTTCATGAATGGATTTCCAATATTTGCCATCATGAATCATTTTCAGGATTAAATTAAATTTGGAAAACATGAATAAATAGGAATGGAATTGAAAAACAAAACTATGTTATACATATTTGTTTCTTTTTTTTTTTTTTTGATGCCGGGGATTGAACTCAGATCCTTTCGCTTGTGCAGCAGGTGGCGAAACCACTGAGCTAAATCCCCAGCCCACATATTTGTATACCTATGTTTATATATGTTTGCATTCATAACGTATACATACAGTGACATGTCAGGTAATTCTGATTATACCATACAGATCTGTGACTATTTCTGTGAATGTGTATGAGTGTTCAGTATATAAAACAAAATATTAGGCATATATAATATATGAGGTAAATTATATATAAATAAACTTCTATTAATGTAATATTTTATATAAAAAGCAGTTAATACAAAAATTATTTAAGTATTATTTTAATTATATTTAAATGTTAACAAATGGTTATAATAGCACAAACTTAATATGAATCTCATATTGTAGTGATTTCACTTTTTAAAGATACAGTATATCATTTCATGCTTTTTTATTTGTAACTTGGCTCACTTGTTTTTGCTTGTTGTTTTAATTGAAAACTGTTTCAATTCAAATTTGGAAGGAAAAAGGTCCATGATCCTAACTCTTAGAATATTTTCATTGTGGGGTTGAGGTATAGGTCAGTGATATGAGTGGTAGAGTGCTTGCTTAGTATGCATAAGGCTTGGATTTGAGTCTTAGCACTTGAAAAAATATATATATATATTTGTAATTTACTCTGGAAACCAAAGATTTTAGCATTAGGCTTGGGCAAACATTTTGTGAACCCTTATACTAACTCACTAAACTTAGTTTCTTTTCTATTCAACTGCCATACACTAGGTCACAACTGGAGAGGAACTTCCTGCCTATAAACTAGAGGTTGGAGTCTGCAAAATATGATTACTTAATAAGGAGGCCGGGTCAGATCAGTCAGAGGGCAGAGGCTTTACACCTGCTTCCCCTAGCATGCTCAAAATGAGTAAGAGGAAAGGAAAGATCCCAGTTCTAGGTTAACCTTCATCCAGCTTCTCTAAACCAACGTTTTCATCGGTGTTAACAAGGTCTGGTGACTGTTCTTGGCTCTGAGTAAGGGGACAGATTAAGTTTGATGAGATGGGTAAGCTCTGGTTTCCCTTAGCACCAGGGAACCTGGTTTAGACAATGTTTGGCTTTCGCTTTTTAAATTTCATACCATTACAAAACATTCATTGTTGTCCTGAATCTTGAGAGGAGACAACAATTGATTTAAGAAAATAAGCTACATGACTGTATAGAGGTAAATGCAAAATGTAACTTACTGGAACAACATAAAGAAAAGCCCTGCAATCTGCAGATATTTTGTTCCTAGTTCTGAGTGCCAACTGATGTGCTCTGTTTTTCTGCATGACTCATCCCCCAGAGAGCCCTTCAAGTTTGCTGCTTAGAAACGCCTCCCTGGAAGCTTTTGTGTGGAATTGATGTCTTCATCCAGCTCAAAGGCAGCTTTTCCTTGACCAGTTTTTCCTTGACATAGCATACTTAAGAGTTATAGCATTTATCATGCTCGCCTCCTCAGGTCTGAGTCATGCTATTATCTTTTCTCAAATCATTGGAATCTTTCAATCTGGCCAATCTGTATTATGTACATTCTTCAAAATATTTCTTGAGCTGTGAGGTATGGCTTATAATGACTGAAGTGGCATGAATATTTATGTTTATATAATTATAATGGTAATTATAAAACTTTATTGGAAAAACACAGAGAAGTAGATACTTTGCTCAATAGTCTGGTTCATTTACAGTCATCATTCCATACTTATAAATAATCAGTTTCTCTCTCTCTCATATATATATATATATATATATATATATGCATGCATGTGTGTGTGTATGTTCTTTTTTTCCTTTCAAATTTCCTTTATGTATTTTTTCTTAATGAAGCTCTATTGTACATATTATCTCTTTAGATTCTTATAATCACTTTGTGAGTTAGTATGGTAGAAATTATTTTCATTATTCTGATGGAAAAACTTCATGTATTTGTAATGCCAGGTCAATAGTCCTGTGACACTGAATAGAATAAAGTCTGTAGGGAGTTTTACCCTACACTGTAGTTTTTTTGAGGTTTGTAGTATTTGTTTGAGGTGAAGAGAAACTTAAGTAATTGCTTCAAGTATATAATAATGTTAATTTAAAAAAATTAGAACCAATAAATATTTATTAATTGAATTAGTGAATCAGTGAAATAACTTAGACAATTTTGGTTTTACCTACAATCTTGTCAGGTAGAAAACTTTTGAGTTTCTATAAGCTTTTTGCCACAGAAAGTTAAAAATAAAAACTCTGGAGAATGGAGACAAGACAGAAACAACCACAGTACTTTCACAAACTCTGGGTCCATGAGTGTGGAATTTCTAGCGAGACTTACAAAATTCACTGTGTGCTGTTTTGTTATTTTCTCACTGTTTTTTTTAACACATCTTTCAAAACAGAGATGAAGTCTTGAAAACTGAGACACTATCTTTTATTTTTTTGTTTCCTCATCACATCTCCTTAGAGTTACTATGGTAGTCATAGGCAGTTAAGAAAGATGTTGCTCTAAGAAGCTGTTATTTTAAGGTATTTGGTAAAGGATTCATGAGGTCAGTGC